CTCCTCCATTCCGACCCGAACTCCTAATTCTCTTATAAGCCATTTTGGAATTCTCTCCAAAATGGCTTATGAAAGCAGACGCAGGCTCTGAATTAAATCGGCATGACCTATTTAGTGCCGTTGGTAGCTAAGGCTAAAGTGAGCATATTCTGCAACCAAGCCTATAACGCCTGAGTTCTACTGTGTATGATAAAGCAGAGCCCCAAGCAGTACAGTCCCTCATGCCTTGGAGAACAGCGGTATAGAAGAGCAGCCGTTTTTCATGAGGTGATCGCTCTCATAGCTCCGTAATCATCCTCTCACGTTTTATTGACGTCAGCAGTTCACGCTGAACGTCACACTGAAAATAGTTTTTGCTGCTCCGCAGTTTTGTACCTAGTGGATTCTTTCCTTAAAGAGACACTAAACTCAGGAGTTACATCTTTAAAAATACATTCAATTACCTTAATTCATTCTTTAATTTGTCCTGATTTATAGGGTATATAGTATGTCTGGGATTTCAGTTTATTTTGGGAGTTCAGTTTATTTTGGGAGTTATAGGTCACAAAATACAGTTTGTGTGGAACAGTTGTAGAATGTGGTATGTTTGTCTCCTATCTTTACTAGTCTCATTGCCACTATATCTTGTTTTTTTTTAATTGAATTTTTTAAACAAACTTTTGACTTTTTAAAAACTGTATTTTTAACACTTATTTTTTTTTTTAAACTAGGGGCCACTAAGAGGGTTTTTTTAAATTTATTATTTACAAGGGCTTTGATACTTAGTATCTCTGAGTAGAATACTGTATTCCCCTCAGAGATGCTTTGCATCAACGTGCAACACAGAGAGTTGCTCCCGGCTCTGACTGTCATGCCTCTGCAATCACAGCGATCAGTTCTCGCTCTGACCACCTAACTTGCTGGTGAGGGTCTACATCAGACCCTGAGGGACCCAGCAACAGCACTCATTGTACCACATGACAGGATTATCCAGTCACTGGTCGTTAATGATCGTTAATGAACTGAATGATTGTGACGGAATAATACCATCATCGGTCGGGAAGGGGTTAAGGTACTTGAATGCATTTTTACAACTGTATACAGTTTATGCATTCGCAAAAAAAAAATAGCAGTTCTAAATATACTTTGTTTTTCTCTCCCAGATTCTTCTGCGAAGGCCCTTGTTAGTCTAAAAGGTAAGACATTCACTATTCTTCTGTGGGAGACTTTCTTTAATTTTTTTTTATTGCTGTCTTGATCCCATTCTCTGACTTGGTGGCTGCTGCCCCAGTGAGGACATAAGAAGATGGCAGGGGACCTAAACTTTCCCATTCTATCCAAAAGAAGAGTTTTGGTTGCATTTGGGCTTTAAAAGGCCACCATATCCAATATATAAAAGAACTGTTCTGTGAAAAGGTTCCAAATAATGTTTCCTAGGGATGCACTGATACCAATATTCATACTCATGAAAATGCACTGATACTTAAAGCCAATACCGGCCCTTTAAATCTTTTAATGGAAGTGGCTGCCCTAAGGTCTCACTCTTGCTGTGGACCTCGTGGCGGTTGTTTACAGTGTGGGTTTAACCGCACATCTCCTTCCTGCCACCTGCACGGCCATGGGAAGACCTGGCAGAACCCTGTCGGAACCCACACTCGCCCGGACAGCCCTGGTGAGCAACACAGAGTATATAGCTTCATATTATTCTGCATTGTTGTATTGCTGGGATGTGTAGTCCTCTATAGCTGGTGGTATTCTGCATTGCTTTATAATGTATTGCTTGGATTTGTAGTCTTCTATAGCCTGGAGTCAGTAGCAGAACTCCCGGGGGCGCAGGGTTTGCAGCTGTGACCAGGCCCTGACACTTCACTGCTGTCCTGAAATCATTAGTCTGTATTGTTTTAGAAAAACTGTCGCATGACACAAAATATCGGTAATTGGTATCGGCGAGTACTGGAGGAAAAGTATTGGTGCTCGGGCTTGAAAAAGTGGTATTGGTGCATCCCTAATGTTTACAACTATGAAAGTAAAGTCACCCGTACATAAATAATAGACTCATATTTTTCAGTGTAGCCTATTGCTTCATGTGAACTGCCATGTTAAAACGGCAGTAGTTTTCTTCTGTAGGACAGCAACTCAAAATGTTTTTCACAGGCGATACTAAGTTCACTTTAAAGTGTATCTAAACCCACAATGTAATATATTTCAGCGTTTCCGTCTTTAGATGTGGTGACTGCATTGGTTTTCTTGGTAATCTGCCAGTAACACACTTCCCCTCCTAGGGAACACTCACTCCATGTACTGCGTTGTCATCCTTTGGCAGGTCCTCTCTTCTACCCATCTTCATAACAACATAGCGAGGGGTGGTCAGTAATCCACAGAGAGAAGTAGGAGCATCAGCCAGTAAAGGTGCCCACACACCTTGCGATAATCGTACGATAGTCACGGGAAATCCCGGGATCGTACGATTATCGTAAGGTGTGTGGGAGCCGTGCGACCTCTGCTACTGTAAAGTCGCACGACTTTTATCTTAGGAACATGTTAGAAAACCCGCCGAGAATCGTGCGATTTTCAGCGGGTGTGTAGCATGTTCGTAAGATAAAAGCCGGACAAAAGTCTTGCGATGGTTGTAAGGTGTGTGCCCAGCCTAACAGTGAGCATTGGCAGAGAAGTCAGGATTACTGGCTTACAGGATTTCTGGCAGGATCAACGGGAATTTTATATTTAACCGATATATATAAAAAACCCTTTCAGTTTTATTTATGTTTTTACAATGCTCGGAAAGTGGATTTATTTATGATGTCTGAGGAATGCATTTAAATAACTTTGTGTCCAGTGTTCAGCTTTACTTCAATTGATGTTTAGCAGCTTATAATACATGCTTGTGAGTCAAAGCTTGACCATGCTCTTTTCATGAGAAGGTAAAAAAAATAAATTTTTTTTCTTTTGCAGAAGGAAGTTTATCGCACACGTGGAATGAAAAATACAGCTCGCCACAGAAAACTCCCACCTGGAAAGGAGGAAACAGCCCTACTGTTGATGTAGTAAGTATTTAGGGGTATAAATGTCTCCACACAGGCTCAGATTGACTTTTTTTATTCCTGAGATTTTGGAACAGACGTATAAAAGTTTGGTTGGTCAGCAGTTGGCAGTCTGTCCATTTTCCCTTTGTGTATGTTGCACTGGAATTGTGTGATCAATATCTCTGAAAAATGCAGGATGTAGCAGCTCAGTAGATTGTTTCCAGGCACCATGTTGTGCGTGGTACAGTGCTTCATTCATATCAGAAATGCCGTATTTACTAAGAGACAAGATTCAGAAGTTCTAACGATTCTCAGGTTTAAAAAAAAAAAAGAAACATCATTTAAGGTAAGTGCTTACACTAACATTGGGGGGAGGGAAAAATATTTTTGACTTTAATGTTACTTTAAGAACAGAAATGATTTTAAAGAGGAACCCCGGGGGTGTTGTTTAGACCAAAAATAATTTTTTAAAATCTTTTTGGTTGTGAAGCGTTCCCCCAGCACTCGGCGTTAGCCTCCAATTAGTGACAATTAAGCCGGAGAGATTCATTGCCTTTACTTTACACAGACCTCGACGTGGGAGGTGATGTTTTCCCTGCAAGGAAAGCCAGCAACATGAAAACATTAAATCACTATTTTCCGAGCGAGGTGCCCAAACATTTAGCTAACATGTTTTTCCTCACGCCTGTTCCCGACTCCCAATATGCATGCTATACAGCATAATGGTAATGTCACTCCTTTCTCATTATATGTTGTTTTTTTAAAAACAAAAAAATAGCTGGACTTTTGGTTTTAATTGTCCTTCTTTTCCCAGCCCCATAGGAGCTCCAAACGAAGCCGGCTTATCTGTGAGGAAGAGGAACGCCAGATAAACACCAGATCACCAAAAAGAAACCAGAAAACAGCCATTGTGCCACAGGTCAGTTTCAGCTACAGGCTTTTCTTTTTTTTTCTTTTTTCACTGTTCAACAGCAACCTGTCATAGAGGCAGTTATCTGTCTCAGCCAAGGCATGCCTAAAGGTGCCCACACACCTTACGATAATCGCGGGAAATCCCGCGATCGTACGATTATCGTAAGGTGTGTGCAAGCCATGCAACCTCTACTACTGTAATGTCGCACGACTTTTAACTTACGAACATGTTCGAAAACCCGCCGAGCATCGTGAGATGTTCGGCGGGTGTGTAGCATGGTCGTAAGATAAAAGCCGGACGGGCCGGTGTGCACAAGCGCACACTGCCCGTTCGGCATTGCGGTCATCGAAGCCCGCCCCTCGGGGGTGCGGCTTGCGATAATCACAAGTACGATCTGCCTGTCCAAGATAGGCAGATCGTACGTTTTTTTTATTTACCTTACAACCATCGCAAGACAAAAGTCTTGAGATGGTTGTAAGGTGTGTGCCCAGCCTAACTCTGGAAGTGTTACTAGTTCCGGGGTAGACACATCGCTTTGCATTATGTTGCTGTGGTGAGCTCTGTCCCGGGACTAGCACCACTTTCAGGATTCTCATTGTTGGTGTCCGGGGCTGGATGGCAACCTCAGCTGTGACACTTGACAAGACTGGTTCATATCTCTTACATTTTGACCAAAGATCACCATGTTCTTGGTACAGTCCTGACAAACCCACAACTGGTATTGCTTGTTCCTCTCTGCTTTTTTGTTTACAGAACCAAGGGAAAGGGTCATTGTTTTTTAACTTTTAAAGAAAATGAGTAACCCTTAACTGAATGCAGAACATTTTCATTATGCTGGGTTGTTGTATGAGGTCTTAACAGACCCCTTTTTAAAAGTGACCCCTTTTGGCCCCTGTGTACACTGATTTTTATTTGGATCAGAACTGCTCTCCCAATACAAGTCAATGAGAATGCAAAAGCAGCCTAAAGCAGGTCAGAATGAGGCCAACTGCAAGTCAATGAACTGTGAATGATCTCAGAAATGTCTCCAGCTAATCTCATATGTAAGTTGAATGCAATTTAAAGCAAGTTGTGTTTGCTCATCGATGCAAGTCCTTTAATGTGGAACTAAACCCCCTACCCTTCTATTGCTGAGGATGGTGCTATCTTAGCCTCAATTAACTCAATTAGTTCTGCAGTTGCCATGTTGTGCACATGTGAGCTGCTATAACACCAGCCATTAAAAGGTTTGAAATATAATTGAACAGCTGCCATAGGCCCACTGGCAACTGACAGTTATCACCAGAGACATGCCTTGGATGTATCATACATTGCACATATATTTATATAGTTTATATTACATATTTATTACAGGTATTTATATAGTGCTGACAATTTTACACATTCACATCAGTCCCTGCCCTCAAGGAGCTTACAATCTAAGGTCCCTATTTCACATTCATACATACAGGGCCAATTTAGACAGGAGCCAACTAACCTTCCAGCATGTCTTTGTAGTGTGTGAGGGAACCAGAGTACCCGGAGGTAACCCACGCAAGTACCTAGTAGGTAGAATGTAAATAACATTGCAGAAAACATTTAATGCTTTAATAACATTCTTTTTGATTCTTTCCAAGTTGAGCTTGCTTTTGGGAAACTATTAAATCTGTGAGTTTTTAGTTCCGATAGAGAACTTGAATGTCATTGTCTGTTGTGGGTATACAGGTACTCTTCTTTCCTTCAGTGTTTGTACTTCAGCTCCTGATTGTCAAATTGGCAAAAACAAGAAAACATTCAAGCTTTCCATAGAACAAGACATTTACCTCCAATATTAATGTAATATCATCATGTTGTGATGTGGTTTAGAGAGTACATCGATCCATTCACACGCAAACATGGGGTAAAAATCCATACTCAATGCAGATAGTGTCCACGGTGGGACTGAAAACCAGGAGCCAGACATGCAAGACAAATGCTTGGTAGTGGCTTAACTATATATCGTATTACCATGCTATACTATAGATCATATTATCATCCTCTATTACAAAATGGAGCCTTAAAATGTTTTTGCTTCCACCTAGAAGTTTACATCTACCACAACTACGCCGGTGAAAAAAGCATCTCAGAAAATCGGCTACAGGCTTCGAAACCTACTGAAACTACCCAAAGCACATAAATGGTGTATATACGAATGGTTTTATTCCAATATTGACAAGTGAGTATTCCACCAACTGACTTGCCTTCTGAGTCTGCACGCATATCACTGTGATAAACCATGTCTAATTTTATATTTCATCTGATGGCACAGAATTTTATTAGTGAGTACTGATCAAATCCTTCAGCCCGTTTTTTCCACTACGGGGTCCTGCAGCTGCAATCATCAAACGTATATAAGGGTACTCCCATCACAGGGCACTTGGTAAAAGAATGTTTGAATACAAATGAATGTCGGGAAGGGGTTTAAATAGGGCAGTAGTAATAAAGCAGCATTTATTTCTCAATCGTCCGTTGAGGGACACGACTCTAAAGAATTGTGAGGCATAGGGTTATGCTGCTGCCTCCAGGCGTGAATGGATACTAGGCAAAAAAAAATGTAAAAGCCTTCCGCTTCAAGGACATAACCCCTTGAAAAGTTTGTTCAGCTTCAGGATCCACTATTTCTAAGTAAATTCGTCAGCTTGTCATTCGGGCTTCTTAGACGTTTCCAAATCAAGCTTCTGTTACTCAAAATTGCATGGCTGTTCACACTTTTTGCAAAGTTTTATAAAGTTGATGTTTCAGCCTCTTCTGATGCTAATGTTGGCAGAAAAGTTTTTTCAGGGACTGTGTACATGTACATCGACAGTTTTTTTTTGTTTTTTTTTTGAGCTAGTGCCCCAGCCCCTCTGTTGGGACGGCTTTTTAATGTCCCTATGTCTCAGAATTCTTCAGCGCTGTGTCCCTCAATGAAAAAAATGAAGAGGAATTTTTGCACTGAATGTTATCGCTACGTGCATTAACCCCATAAGTTCCCAGACTACACTATATTTCGTCGTAGTGGGCCTTTATGGCTAAACTCTAGGTAGATATAAAAGATAAAAATTAATACAACTTTGTAATCGACACATTACATTGTACCGTGTAAGTACCTCAATTTGATTTATCTACCTCTTACAGTCCCTGTATAGCAGAGCTGGGGTAGGAAGAAGCAGCTCATGAGCCAATCAGTTCATATACTGACATGGAAAATGCTGATAGGTGGAGAAGCAGAATGACCGAGAAAAACTTGTCACTGTTCTGCTTTTGCTTCACTTGTCCATTCACAGGCTGGGAGCAAGTCTGACACCCTGGGCTCTGAGGAAGTGAATAGAATTATGTTGGCTTTTATTCACCTTGAAAGACTGAATGTGGCTGCGAGGGACAGCTCTTGATTGAAGGCGGTTAATGCAGATAAAGCTGCTTTATTTTTTATGGAGTTCTGTAATCATCAGTCTGCTTTTGAAAGGCCTGTCTGCCGAAGTATGACTTCAGTTGATTGATATCTTCTCTCCATGTTGTTTGCAGGCCTCTCTTTGAAGGTGATAATGATTTCTGTGTTTGCCTGAAAGAGTCTTTTCCAAATCTCAAGACAAGGAAACTAACCAGAGTGGAATGGGGCAAAATCAGACGGCTTATGGGGAAGCCACGAAGGTAAACCGAGGTCCCGAAGTGTAGAAAAGCCTGCTTGAGTCACTCGGAACAAAGCATGGAGGATGGAAGTGCAGACATTTCTGTCTTTACTGACTCCATTCTTGTTCCACGTCAGTGACTGAAGAGCTGTAAAACCAGAGGATGTCATTACCAGAGCCTGCATGTATATGGCAGCTCACATATTTGCCCAGTCTGCTATTAGAGGGAATCTATAGTACATTGCATTCACCCTAAAGGCTCCGCTCATTTTTTTTTACCACTTTCATGTGAATGTGACCAGCTTAATCTAATTATGTTGTGTATTACTGAAAATGGTAATTGTTTGTGTACATGGGGCAGCCATATTTGCTCCTTACATACATGGGCTCCTTACATATGGAAGCTCTGCTTTCTGTTTCGTGGTACTCCACAGTGGTTGTGCTTCACTGTTATTCTCTGTGGGGCAGGTAGCTATGGGAGAAAGTCTACAGATCTGTAAGTGAAATGAAGTCACCAAATATTGGAACAGCAATCACACAAATTACTTTCCAGCAAAATAATCCAAAATAAATGTAAATTAGAACTTCCTTTTTTTTTCTAAAAAAAAAAAAAAGATAATGTGCTTTCACGATCCTCTTTAATGTATAATACACGTCTGGGGAGTCATGCTTAAGGTGTGTCATCTTTTGTTAAGGCCTTGCATAGAATGGTGATACAGTCAGGGTGATCTCACTATAGTAGTCTTAAGGTGGCCATACACTGTGCAAATGTCATCCGGTTCATGAGGAACTGGCTGATATTCCACACAGTGGGGTGTCCCTGTCGGCACTCTTTTGGCCGGCATCCCTCCTGCCTTTTGCCGGCTCCCCCAATGAGCTGCTGGCTCTGCTCAGGTATTCTGACAGCAGCCACTGTCAGAATATGAAAGACACAGCAGGGATTCCTCAATCAAAGCACTGTGCTCTGTATTTAAAGTGTGCATGTTAAACATATAAATAGTTTTTTTTTTAAACATTCAAATAAAATTCACCCTAAACTATCCGTTTCTCTCGGCAACAATACACATGGGCAATGGTTAAACATAGTGAAAAGATGCATATGTTGAACACTGGTTGCAGAACTTCTTTAGCTAGCTGGAAATTGTGTGTTCCATTATAAATTGCTGGAAAGAAATGGTTTTTAAAATGGTACAATTCTACCCGGTATGATATGGACCTCTTACTATTGAATGTTTTCAGGAATGCCCGTAAGCGAATCTTTTCCCTAATCCATAAAATATCTGCCAGTCTGTAGACCGTTTTGCAGTCAGGAACTCCCAGTGCATTAAGTTTATATTGTTGTTGACTTTGTAGATGTTCTGCGGCGTTCTTTGAAGAAGAGCGATCGGCTCTGGAACAGAAACGACAGAAAATCCGACTCTTACAGCAGAGGAAGGTGGCAGATGTCTCTCAGTTCAAGGATCTGCCAGATGAAATCCCCCTTTCCCTGGTCATCGGAACTAAAGTTACAGGTAAGTGTGTTCAAATGTGTACAGGGGACTCCTGCACTTTCTGGTGAGGGGCGGAGCTTGTGGTTTTGTTTTATAGGTGTTCTATCTCCTGGTATGCTATTTGATTTGTAATTTGCGCAGGTTGTATCTAAAAGTGGTAGCATTTCCCTATGTCAAATCCACCTTAGCATTTGCATCCACTGATCTGGTGCCAAATTGTCAAAAAATGGTAGTGGTACTTTTAGTGCAGGGGCAGCCAAACTCCGGCCCTCCAGCTGTGGTGGAACTACAAATCCCATGAGGCATTGCAAGATTCTCACATCCACAGACATGACTCCCGTAGAGATGCATCATGGGATTTGTAGTTTCACCACAGCTGGAGGGCCGGAGTTTGGCTTCCCCTGTTCTAGTACGCTACAATGCTAAGGATTATGGTCTGTGACGTTTACTCTCATGCTTGGGTAGATTGAACATTGAACCGCTTGCAGGTTTATTGTGAGATAGGGCAATGAATGGCACTCTCATCACGCACCACCCTGCCCCAAGCTATTTTACAACTAAGAATGCTGGGAGATATTTATCTTGAGCTAAGTTGGACTCCTGGCAGCCACATGCTCCAGTGTTTACCAAATTGTAGCACACGTATCACTGGTTATACTTGCCCTTGCTGCACATTGACTCTGCAGGTCTCAGAATTTATGTGCATAACCTATTTGTCTAATAATACTCTATTACTGATGAGCAGATACCTCATGGACCATGTGTCCCAGTCTACATTTTGTAGTAGGACAGGGTCCTAATTATTGGCAGTGTAGATAGGTGGGACTTGTACATATGTTTTAATAATAAAGTTTGCAATCAGACAATGTGATGGTTGTGTTGGGGGTACACTACTGAGCAAAGCTATGGAAATACTGCAATAGACATTTCACTGATGAGAACGATGTTACAATGCCAGGCCATAGAGAGTATTGTGTGCTGCAGTGAAGACCTGGAATGAGTAGACTGATCATAATTTTCCTGGCATGACACATCTTCACGCAAAAAAGTTTAGGCTCTTTGGAACACTGAGGCTGATTGACATTTAAAATTGTTGCACAAGCCGCTTTCTAATGTAATTAAAAATGACCCTTCCATTTAAATCTGTAGCCGCTGTAATGTGCTGAATGTTTCAAAATAATCAAATGCAATATGGTGACCTGGCGACCGACCGTGTACACAATGCACACTGTTGGTGTACAGAACTCCCCCGGACATATCAATCCCTGCGTCTGCGATTGGCTGTCTGATTTTCCCACAAGTCTGCACTAAGATGTAAAATGTTAAACATCCCTTGCAATAGGAATTTGACTTTGGTGATATATCCCGTAACGGGTAATTACTACTAAAGGGATGCAGGCACTGCACCGTTCCTCATTACAACACAGGAAGTCCACCAGCTGATTATATCGAACCCGGCCCTCCCATTCAGGGATCAGTTTGGAAAGGACACATTGAAACATAGAAAATATATATAGTTTTTTTTTTGTTTTTTTTTTAAAATCCTTGCAATGTACACAGATCACCGTGAGAATTTTTTTTTTTTTTCTCAATTAAAGAACAAAATAGAGGGGCACAGAATTGTAGAAAAATCTGACATGTGGGTTATGGTGCTTCATACAGGAGGTTTGGACACTAGCAAAAACAAAATAAATGTTAAGCCAGCCTCCGTATAACCTAGCCTCCAAATGTCATGCATCGTTTTTTTTTGCTAGTGTCCCAGGAGGTTGGATACCTCAGGTCTGTTGTGGAAATCCCAAATTTATTTTTTTCTACAACTTTTTTTCGCTTTGATCAAGATTTTTTACATAATGGATATTTTTTCCTTAGTAACTTCAGTCAAGACCTCAAATATGCTTGAGCTGGTCTATAAGCTACCTGGATCGGCATATCCTCGGCAGTAGCTTTAAAAATGTACCTGGACCCTGCTGAACTAAGGATTGCAGGACTTGCTTGGCAAGTGACACCCTCAGGCACTGGGCTCTGCTGGTGGCCCTTTCCAAACCTTAGTGTACTGTTAGCCAAAGAGCCCCTTCAAGGTCCAGAGCAGTGATACGGCCTCTGGTGCGTCCAAGTCCATGTAGACTCCCTTTGTGAGTGAGCCTATGGTTGGAAGTTAAACTGGGTAAGTCATCTTCGGGGACTGCGCTCTGTTTTTTGGTGCTTTTCAGACCTTTTAGATGACTCATTACCGGAGCCATGGCACAACTGCTTCTGTGCCCCAGTCTGTGACAACTCACTTGGTGAGAAAACCCTGCAGCTTAAAACAAATAGGTATTTCCTCAGCTTAGCTTTGAAATCCCTTTAAAAAAAAGGTAGATTAGGCTGCAATATTCACCTTTTGATTCCCCCACATTGTCATTCAACTTAGAGGACATACTATGAATTAATGAGGGTCATGGCCCTCCCCCCTAAGGAGATGTCACTTCATTCATAGTGTTTTGAAGCAGAGAGCGCCATTCTCTGCATCAGCAGGGGACCATCCCAAACTGGAGGCTAATCTCAATACAAATTAGTAAACTGAAAATCAGATTGTAGTCCATCACAGGAGCAAGTTTGGAGCGGTGACTACTGTACAACACACACAGGGACCATGAGGAACAAAAGTTGCCACCCTCTAGAAGGAAAGACCTTATCAGCACCTATTCAGAGATGATTTGAGGACCTACAGCTGAGTGATGCACAAATGAGACATTTGTGTTAATAATTAAGGTACTTGAGCGTATTTTTAGGCTTTAACTCCGGAGTTTAGTGTCACTTTAGGACATCTGAAAAAAATGCCCTGTGGTAGGGGTGCAGTTTGGTGAGGGGCCTAGTCTAGAATGGGGCTTTAATAATGTATGGTGTTTAGCAGACTTTCCTGAAAGTGGAAGAGGGGTATTTGTGCTTTCTCAGAAGGGTACTTTTCCATTAAACATTCCATATTCTATTTCCTCTTCTCAGCAAGTCTGCTTTGTCCAGCCCACCAATAGTTTAACCTTTCTCCATCTCTCCTCAGCTCGGTTACGAGGTATACACGATGGCCTGTTCACTGGTCAGATCGATGCTGTAGACACCCAGAATTCCACTTACAGGGTCACATTTGATAGAAATGGACTTGGCACCCACACGATCCCAGACTATGAAGTCCTGGTAAGTTTGCTTTGTGCACACAGTCTTGTCATTAACAACTCGCCTTGCAGGGATCCTCAAAAAAAATTATCCTTCTAAAATCAAATCTGGTAGATGAGATCTGCCCAAGGTCATCCATGTCCTTGAACCTAAATGACTTTAAAGTGTCATCACCTTTTACATAGACTGCAATTAACCATCAGAGAGACTTTCCAAAAAGTAATAGTAAAGCACTCTCATCTGCTCACTGTTTACAATCCTGGCCTTGTCGGCTGGCAGCAATGGTCTTCATTTAGGGAAGATTGAAGTGTAAATGACGTCCTAACCCAAGTGATCACCATACAGTTTGCGTCACACACACTGGACTGTTTATTAAATGACTTTCCTATCTGATCATTGTAAGCTAAAAGATTGGACGCCAGCTGTGTGATGACTTTCGTGTTCTTTTATAATGCCAGGAGCATTGTCAACAAAAACATTTTCAGTTTTAAAACAGACTTGTGCTTTGGCTATGGAGAAAGCAACACGTTTGCTTTAATGTCCAAGCCCCAGCAGCAATATATGTTCTGTCCTTTTTGCTCTTCTACCATGACTTTCAGCCCTTGGGCACAAGGAAAGGAAGCCATGTGTAAGTGGAGTCATTTTAGTTGGAGCAAACACAGGATTAAGGACTGTTTCCTGACCCCCCATGTGACAACACTGGACCAGTCCCCAAGCACCTGTGCTGTCGCATGAGAAAAAGGGGAGAGGCTCTTTTAGAAGTACCAGGTGCTCTTGGCGACCGAATAGAGCGTTTGGGGGGCAATGCAAAGGTATGAGCACTTAGTGAGGGGAGCATTAAAGCAAACTTGTAGCTTTGCCCGGCATAGGCAAAGCGCATGTTTTTTTTATTTTATATGGGAAAGACCTCCTGTATGAAACTCTAGTTGGGTAGGTCATAAAAGCATTCCATTACACTGCTTTTCATATGAGGGGGGCTGGTCCCCTGTCCTGTTGGCCTCATTACATATTCATATCTGCAGAGGAGGATCATTTAGACCTTTTCCAATAAGCTGCCTGTGTCTATATTTTGGGAGTCCTCGGCTCTACAGGTATAGAGATCCCTGAGATATCAAACAGCTGGGGTAAAAGACAGTTATCGAGCAGTCGCTTCTGTGCCAAACAGTCTCTTGCATTGTCCACAAGCATTATGGTTTATTGCCAACCTCGATCTCTTGAATGTGTTTGGAATGGGGCGGCCCCACATGAACACTAGTCTTCCAGAGCTGCATGTTCTGTAAGTAGCGGGAAGCTGCCAAATATCTGGACCTAGAGGGTAATGGGAGAGGTGGGAAGATGACCACATGTGAATAGCAGATGGAGTGGTTTCAGAACAGAATTTTCCATCATGCCAGGTGCCAATTTGATCTGACAAGGTTATGCTTCACCCCATGCACTTGCTGATCAATCTGTGGGTAATAGTGGGGTACATTATTGTTGAACCAAATGAGAAATGCTCTCCTAGCACAGGAGTGAACCAAAAGCTTTATTGTAGTCATCGGTCATTGTAAATATGAAGCATGCATCTGTTGAATCAGATTATCAGCTGTTTTATCAGCAGTCTGGAATATACAGAATATGAATCAAACCAGTTACAGGTGCTGGAGCACCACTTGTATTGACTCGTGTATCAATCCTTTTTATCCGGCCTTAAATTAGTGTTTGGAGATGTTAATGGCATTGTTCAGCCTGTAGTTAGCCAGACATGAGCTGGATTCCAATTTTAAAGCATTTTCATTTAAAAGTTTGTAACTTGTGCTCTTCTTGCAGAGCAATGAGCCACATGAAACAATGCCCATCGCTTCCTTTGGACAAAAACAGCGGCCTTCCCGTATGTTCATGACTCCTCCACGGTTACAATACCCTCCCCCTGCCCAATCACCCATTATGGTAAGTAGTGCTTTTTTATTATGTAGAAACCTTTTACATTGGGCACAATTAATGTGGAATGCCAACCCAAAGGTGTTTTGGGAACAGGTGGAAAGGGTTAATACCCTTTCCACCTGTCGGTTTTTTATTGATTTTTTTTTTTTGCCCGGCTGTCACTTGAATAGGACATCTATCTCTGGAGATAATGACAGCATTTAAGCTTAAAAGAGAACTATGAGTTGAGTGATTGTCACTCATCCTCATAGTTAGAGGTGACGTGTGACAATGAAACTGTCACACGTCGGCTCTATAGATCGGGAAGTGAGCAAACGCATACCGTCGCTCGCTCACTTCTCGCTCATCTCCCTGCAGAGAGCCGTGACTGTCAGTCACAGCTCCCCGCAGGGATTCTCCCCCCCCCCCTCCCTGCTCCGATCCTCCAGCGCTGACTGGAGGAACGGTAGGGGCGGGCGGGCACAGCTGTCAATCAGCCAGCTGGATGGATCTCGACATTAATGCCGGGATCCATCCCGGCTGCGGCACTCTCAGTTTATAGCGAGCTATAGCTTGCTATATACTGAGCTTTGGCTCACAGGAGGAGGTTAGTATATATCCTCCCGTGACCCTTAAGAGAACTATGGGGTAACCTTTTTATCCCATAGTTCTCTTAAGTCAAGGCAGATCTGAAGAACACAAATGTATGCAATTCTATTTAAATTCATGAATACAAGCTGTGTACCCGAGTCCGACCTGGGATCTTCCTTCTGCATTTTCTGTAGAGAAACCCTTAGACTGGGAGAGAGAAACTCGTGGATGAACTTTTTTTTTCTCAACCCGACTAACTATGTAAGAAGCACAGCAATGGAAGCCAATCAGTTGTGCTGCAGTTCAAAGAGTATTCTATTATGAGGAGAGAGCAGAGTGACGGGGAGATGAGCGCCTCTTTTTACTGTCCAGTCACTGAATGGGGAGGCACTAAACTTATATGTGTTACTGAACTGCAGCAGAGACAAATCGGGCTTCCTGCATTGCCAGACAAAGCTGTGCTGTGTGGCATAGTGGTGTAAATCTGTGAACTGGATGGACAAAAATACAAATCCTTTGGCAAGGGGAATGACTCCCATAAATGTATTTCATCTGTGTGTTCAGCTTTAAAAACCTGCTCGATTTACAATAAAACATAAGTTAATGACTGGAGTACTTCTAACAAACAACAAGTGACCATTTTTAATGTACTCCTATTTTTTCTTTTGTCAGATGCAATGTCAATGGGAAGGTACGTAGCTGGGCTTTACAGGAAGAGTAGAACAGGGTGGGCTTTATCGGTCATTAGCAGTCCTTCCAGGAGATGAGGCAGTGGTACAGTATCCATAGAACTGCAGGCTGTCAGTAGTGGTGCCACCCTCTTACGCAGCAGAGCAGCAATATTGCATAGCAGCGATGAAGGGTCACAGGTGTATATACATTCTGAAAATGTTTTGGGAGCTAACAGTCCCTATCTATGTGCTTCCAATGTGTATTTAACTGTTCGAATTTACCATTTGACTGTTTTTCCTTGTTTTGTGATGGTTTATACCAAATTTTAGGAAGGTGATGCCCTGCTGGCACAATCTCCCTGGAAAAGTAAATCATCCAGCACGGACAATAACACAATAGGGGGTTTTCCAGTGGAATTCCTTGTTCAGGTGGTAAGTAGATTGCCGTCATTTTGCATTATCTGCTAAATAACCCTCGTAGCATTTTCTTCCCCCATTTATATTTTGTAATGTTAATTTTAGCATGATAAAATATTTTATTTTTTTGTAAATCTGTTTAAAGTATTTTTTCTTGTTTTAGACAAGGTTATCGAAGATCCTTATGATCAAGAAAGAACACATCAGACAACTAAAAGACATGAACACAGAAGCGGAAAAACTAGTAAGTCTCCTTTATTTTACATGTTAAGTTTCAAATGTCTCTTAAAGTGAATCTGAGATCAGGCTGTGAGCATTCCAGTATTAACACGGAGTAAATGAGCTTTAGAACAAGTATTCAGTGACCTCTGCAGGGGCACACATTGTGGAGCTATTCATCCTAAGATCACAGCACAAACAATGGCTTCATTCAAGTCATTCTCTCAGCTCTCTGACTCTTATTTTAGGTTAGTAGTGTTAGTAGTAGTGGGTCATTTAGGGACACGGGACATCTTAAACCTTTGAGGATTGAATGGGGGTTTAGACACTGGCAAACAACTGTATGTCAGTGTTGAATAACCCCTCCCACTATGAGCATGCTTCCGTTTTTGCTAGTGTCCTAAGAGGATGGACGCCTTCATCAGCACTGCTGGGAAAAGTCTAGCAGTCACTTCATGTTTGACTGTAGGAACAGGTAGGGCAGTCCTGCTGTACTGGGTACCCCCAGGCCACTTTCTGCTAATGGCTCCAGGCTAATTACAGTGTACCTACGACCAGCCGCCCGGCTTCCTGATTGGTCCGGAAGCCAGGCTACATCGCAGTATGTCGCTAGGCAGCGTGGAGCTGGCTTCCTAGCCAACCATGACCCGCCGCCCTGCTTCCTGATTGGCTGGGAAGCCAGCTCCCTCACGGCACTGCCGGTCAGTGCCGTGAGGGAGCATAATGCTCAGTATTGATTCCTATATCAAATGCTCAGTATTGATTTTTCTATATCAGTTTTTGTATTGGTGTATCCATTAGAGACAAATTATCTCTCCTCTCACCCACAAGGTGGGGTTTTTGTAACCATCACACTTGTCAGGCAAGTGTCTGAACTAGTAGCCCCTGTAGTTTTGCATAAGGGAAAGGTGGTGTTAAGGCTCCGGACTTGTTGCCTGATGTAGTTTCTGCCATTCACCTCAAGCAGGACATTGTTCTTCCGTCCCTCTGTCCAGCCACAGTTTTTCCGGGTTCAGTTTACCAAAAGAAAAGAATTTCCCTCCATTTTCTGGTTGTGGGATACAAGTCCCACCTCTCTGTGTTTTATGATCATGCTCTCAGGACTACTTTGCTACAAAATTGAGGCTTGATGCTAATAGGATGAATTATCCTTGGCTGGCCTACATTTTTTTTCCCCAGTTTCTAATCCTGTAGGCAGCAGTGTAATCTGAAGGAAAAAAAAACTTCCTGTGTCCCTGAATTGAGTCCTAAAAAAGGATATTCCAGAATGAGTGAAAAAACCCTATTTTTGTTGGCAATTGACATAATTGTCACTTTCTTCAGTCTGAATGCTATAGCTACTTAGAAAAACCCACTCTGGATCCACCATAGTCCTCATTATCCCTGCCCCTCCCTCCAATTCATGTTTGCGAAGTCAGTCAAGCTGCTCTTGACCATGTGATTATAGTAAAGGCCAAACCTCCAAGTTGGCATTGATTTTTAAAGGATTTCAGCAAGTGCACTAGAATAGCCCACTTAAAAATCCACAGAACAGCAGCAGACTAGGATCTGCAATAATGTGCTGGAATCGTAAAATACTGACATACACATAACCCATCTATAGGATTCATTTTCTTTCTCTCCATCACAAAAAATTTCCCAAAACTACATGAAATATATTACTAGATGCATTTAACATTATGAAACCTCTGACTGTATGCAATATACTTTTTCTAATTGTATTTCTCTTGGCAGAAATCATATTCTGCTCCTATTGGTATCGACTTTCAGAGGAGATATGCAACCCTTGTTCTGGAACTGGAACAGCTTAATAAGGATCTTAATAAGGTTCTTCATAAGGTTCAGCAGTACTGCTATGAGGTAAGGAAATAGTGTAAAAGACGTTATTAATGAGTATGGAATGTTGATATGAATGGGAATAAATAGACCCTGCAGCTAATCTGAACTATAATTTCATAGGGCTTAACCACCTTGAAATCAGCTTAGGCAACAGAAGCTTCACCAGACTAGACCTCTTTAGGCAAAAATAGTTGTGATGGTGCTTGAGATGTGGCGTTCATAGGCTCTGGCTGTCTGAGACAGAGATCATTATTTGAATGAAAAGCAATTGCTCCATGTCTATTACTGTTGACTGGATGGGAAGAATGTAAACAGAAATCTAAGAATATGCTCTTTAGCTATATATACTTTTCTAAATGATCCACAAAAAAAATGGCTTATTTTTCTTGCCAACAATAAACAAGTTTTGTGAGGCCAACATGGTAGGCTCCAGAAGCAAATGAAGACCAAATCTAACCATTTCAGTCCTCCAACTTAAAGCGGAACTTGACTTGCCAATGTAACTGTGTCCCAAAAGTTACTTTCAAGGTGTGCCAACTGTCAAGGTTCAACCTACCTTCCAAACCTTCAAATGGCTGGTGTCATGGCTGATCACATGTGCAGCACCATGGCAACTGCAATCCATATAGAGGCTAAGATGGCACCTTCCTTGGCTGTAAAGCATAGGAAGGTTGGTACCGCTTTACGCTGAGACTCCTCACGCTGTTTCCACAACGTTTTCCTGACCGCATTGTCAATTTGGAACTCCACTCTATGAAGGTTTTTTCCCAAATAAAAAAAAAAGATGGAAGGTGCAGGGCATCAAGTCTGGACTGTTGGTGGGATGCAGTGAATTGTGATTGGAACAACACTTTCTGCCATCAGGATATGTGTCGCACACCGCGCATTGCTTAAATCACCATAAGGATCAAGCACAGGTTCCATTTCACATTGACAAGGGTCAAGCACAGGTTCCATTTCATTAAGAGTAGCAGAACAGTGTTTAATTCTAATGATCTGTTGCCACTGATGCAATAGAGAAGAACCTTTGCAACATGTCAGTGGGACTTGTCATATATCAGTGCTGCCATTGGAGGACAGGATGGCTCTCCATGCATTGGCAGATTTTCATATTTTTTATATCTGGTACCTCTAAGACAGGGAGAGTTTTTACCATATACATTCTTTGATCATATTTGATAAAACTTCTTAAACTTCCACAGCTTGCTCCAGATCAGGGACTTCAACCTGCAAACCAGCCAACAGATATGAGGCGGCGCTGTGAGGAAGAAGCCCAGGAGATGGTTCGCCAAGCAAACACCTCAAATGGCCAGCCGTGTGTACAGAACGAGAGCCTGACAGACCTCATATCCCGTCTTACCGCTATCCTCCTACAGATAAAAGTAAGACATCTACATCACTCCACCACTTCCAGGCTTTTAAAGAGAAACATTTGTGAGACTGTATTGTTTCTTTTACAGTGTCTGGCGGAAGGAGGGGACCTGAATTCTTTTGAATTCAAATCTTTAACAGATTCCATCAACGATATAAAGAGTTCAATAAACCCCTCAAATATCAGGTATGAGGTGTCTTGTGCTCTCATATTTTTTTGCTTTGTGTCAGATTTACATTTATTTCTATTATGTACTGAATGTGTAATACCAAATTTATTTTTTGTCCCGTCTCTTCCCGGTTGTCCCGTCCCTTCCCGGTTGTCCCGTCCCTTCCCGGTTGTCCCGTCCCGTCCCTTCCCGGTTGTCCCGTCCCGTCCGTTCGGCTGCAGAGATTAGTCAAAGCATCAGAATGTTGACAAAATGCTGATGCTTTGACTTCTCTCCACTGCAAGGGGGTATAATACCTTTTCTCTTGCAGGAAACTTTGTTTTTAGGACTCCCTTTGGTGATGACAGTGTAATCTGTGCATGTTTACTTTAACATAGACCTCCCGGTAGCATATATTCCCCTTTCACTCTCCACTTGGCCTGTTCAGTAGCTGGTAGCAAAAAAATAGCCCTGTGTAATTTCAGAGTTAGGAACTTCTGGGCTATGGACTACTTTTGTGACAGCGCTGATTGGCCCAGCACTGTAATATGCTCCTCCACACTCAGAGGAATTGAGTGAAAGGAGCAGAAAGTGTATACTGCTGGGGGCTGGAGGATTGAATCAAACCTGTTGTGTTGTCCTGAATGGGCAAAGGTTCGTTTTAAGCAACACCTATGGTACACATTCTGCTAGCTGTGGTAATTTTTGCAGTTGCCTCATGGGCTAGAAAGAAACAATGGGTTGTGACCCATGTTTAAAACTAAAAGCGCTGCCTAAGAGCAGACACCACAAGGCGCATGTTACATTTGTTAGACTGAAAACCTTATGTACCCCATCTGATTTAGATGTTATTGTTCCAGTAATGCCTTGCCTTTGCCAATCACTTGTCCAATGAGCGTTCCATTATGACCATGACTGGGAGTCCGCCATGCTTGACAGTCTACATTAGCACTTTGTTACTAAAACCCTGATGACCCTAGAATGTGATTGCACCCATCTTTGTGTTTTCTTTCAGCTGTTTTCAGAATAATGTGGAGATCCACGTAGCACACATCCAGAGCGGCCTGAGTCAAATGGGAAACCTCCACGCCTTTTCAGCCAATAACACCAACAGGGACTGACATTCTGGCGCACTTGTCTATAGAAGAAACACGGACTCTTCTTTGTATTACAAAATGAACCAGCATTACAAACTTGACATATTTTATTTACTTTGTCCTATGGATACACACGGCAAAGAATAGCTGGAACTGAGTTTTCAGTCTGCTTCCCACCTAGTCTACAGATATTGTGGAAAGAGCACCCTCCGTTGTTTCCTTTCTCCATTGTCCATTTGTTCCTCGTCATCCCTCCTCACTGTCCTGCGTGCCTCGTGGTGATGTCGTTAGTCATCGGCTGCATTATTTGCTTTCACTACATGAAATGGTGATGGTAGGCGCTCATCCAATGAGCTGCAAGTGTTTAGGTGAATCCAACAACCAAGCCAATGCCCATCCGCTCTCATGGAAATCAAGTTTTTAAAATAGAGCTGTTCGCTTAAGCAGAGGAGACGGCCATACTGTGTACAGACTCATTTACCAGCTGCGTTTAATATTTTAATGCAAAGAGCGGTCATTCTGATTGGTTGCTAGCAGTTACTGAAAGCCCAACTAAACGTTTTAGTTTAAATCCGTTAAATATATTCCAGGCTTATCAAGATGTCCAAAGTCTTACAGTTTATTTTTTTTCTAAAACAGCCACAGCCCGAGTACAAAAGCCTGCTAGCATGCTGTGGAGAAAGACCCTTGCTCTTTATGTGGAAGTAGTGGTCTCTCTGTAGAGGTCTGGCATGCCCCCTGCTGAGTCTAGCTCTAACTCAGCAGAGGGTGCGTTGGACCTCTGCAGAAAAACCTCTGCATTCACACAGACCGCAAGGGTCCTTATCTGCACGTGCTGGCACCGGACAGGCTTTTCTACTCTGGCTGTGGCTGCTTCCTTAAGAAAAACTGTAAGACTTTGAACAACTTTAGCTGTGATTCACTTGGAATGTGTTTTGGCTGATTTTCAACTGATTTGATTTGAACTGATTGTGCTTTAACTTTGCACATGCCCTTGGCCTTATCCAATAAAATTCAGGAGTTCTATAAAAGGATTCCAGGAATTCCATGACCAAGTCAAGTAGTCGTTTAAAGTGCATTGGCCTGCTTGGTGTCGGCTCAGCTGTATATCAGCAATCCAGTTTTAGCAGCTATTCAAAACTCTTCAAGAGATGTTTGCATTAAGAAGAAATCTGCACCCACAGTGCATTGTAAATGTCTTTGTATTGTACAACAGTGATCTGTAACCAGTAGCTGGGGGTCCACATGTGGCTCTCTCTGCAGTGATTTGTAGGCACAGTAAATATGGGAACAACTTCTGCTCTTTGTACTTCCCGCAGGCATGGAGCTTGGCCCAAGGTTTTTGGGGTTCATATATTGTTCAATGTTCTTAAGAGTTAAGTGCCATGTTTTCAAACTTTCAAACACTCAGTACTGTACAGTTCAAAATTCACCTATATAAAGTGAAGATTTTACTGAATGGGGCTATATATGCTCAGCAGCCAGCACCACGTTTTCTGTTGCTTCTGCCCTTCTGTTTTATGTTGCTTCTGCACAAAAAAAGAGACCTGTACATGCTTTGGATTATGGACTGTTTGGGGAGGTAAAGCGTGCCAAAACATTAAAAGCACAAATTAATTTTCAGTTTACATCAGCTAAATACTTTCCAGGTGGAGCAAAACAATATGTATACAAGGTATTACCGTTTTGTTTTCCTTTCAAAGCGCTCACAGCCTAAGTGGATAAGCCTGTTCTCTGCTAGATCGCCCTTGGTCTCTGTACGGAAGTAGTGGCCTCTCTGCAAAGGCCTGACACACCCACTACTAAATCAGAGCTCGATGATTGGAGAAAGGGGAGGGGGCAGACTTTGCAGAGAGACCACTGCTTCTTATCTTTATCTGCCGCAGGCATTCTAATCGGGCTGTGGCTGCTTTCTAAACAAAAGTGTAAGATTTTGAAGCCTTCTTTTTATCTACCTGGAATGTATATCGCTGATTTCAATTGGAAGTTCAGTTGGGCCTCCTGTAGACTGATGAAGGCAGAGAGGTGTGCGTGGATGCTCTGCTTACCCTTGTGTACCAGGACTGGTTGGTGGGTTCATGAACACGAATGGTCTACTTGGCTTGAGGCTAATGCAAACTGTCTCTGCCATAAGAGAAATTTAGTAGCTGCCATTGCTGATGTCCATCTAAAATTACTTGATAACTGGCTGTTGTGGTCATCCTCTGGCTTCAAGAGTTTTGGAGTCACTGGCCTGAAACGAGTATGCAAATCAGCAAAGTTGACAATACTTATCTGCATTCTTGTTCCAGGGGAATAAATATCATGACAGCCAGGCATCTAGGAGAAGCTTCCATGCTTTTGTGAAAGGTCTGCTTTGAGGCATCTAGCTGGCTTTTTGGAACAACTAGGGAGTGCAGGGGTGGTGCTTCTAAATTAAAAAGTTCCAGGTGCCTTGTGTTGCTGCTGCTGCTTGGCATTTATCTCACTTTGGGGATTACTTGGTGACCAGCAATAAGTCCAATGTAGGAAGTAATCAAATATACAGGTTAGCTGCCTGTAGTTGTGTTTTGGGTTTTTTGGCAGACTTTTAGATTCTTCCTGTACTTCTATCCCAAAGTTTTTACTTTTTAAAAGCGGACCTAGATGGATGTGTGTGTTTTTAATGAGATCCATTAACGTGATCCTGTGCTTTGCCCATGTAACACAAAGCAACAGTTTTTAAGTTTTTAATGTCAGCCCCTGAAGCTTCCTAAGCTTACTGTCCCTCTGCTCCCCGGCTGCTCTGTTACCCTGTGGCAGTCACGTGACTTACCCACTATGTTTGCGTATGAGACTACATGGCAGAACTGGCATTCCACACCCAGCACAACTTACACAGGTTTCCTACTCTTCTTGCTTGTGCAGATGAGTGGGAGTGGTGGGTACCCGGAGGGAAGATGAGTATGTGCAACGGCAGTGATTATATTAAAGTGACCGTTTGGTCTACATGGGCAAAGCACTGGTTCACTTTAAGCACTGCTTGTCACAGGCCATGCAGGGGTTAACAGAAGCAACACTGAGCACTGTCAGAGCGTGTTACCACAGGCTGTAATTTTCCACCATGTTGGTGTTTTTTCCCCTATGAATAGAAAACAATCTTATTCTCTGTCTGTGTCAGAATATGAGTACCATATGTTTGAGCCAGGAACGGGCACACCTATTGCTGGTAAACCCATTTTGGATGTAAGCAACCCTGTCATGATTAAAACATAAAAATGAAGCCACCCTGTAATAGAATAGACTACTTACCTTTCCTGTGTGTGGTCATTCTAATCTTCGGGCTCCACTGGTATCCAATACATACCAGTGTGTTGGATTCTGGACCCCCACTGGGCTTTGTGTTCCTCCTAATGGTCTCTACATCACTACAAGGCACAGCAATGAAGGAACCCCAGTGGAGAGGGCCAAGTATCCTAGACACCGGGTTGTGTTTCATGCTTCTGTAGCTCTTCAAAGGAGGAAAGATTGGAGTGACTCTTCTGCTACAAAGGAACATATTAAATCTCTTCTTTTACAGGTTGCCTTTGTTGGTGTTGGAGACACAGTTGCTTTAAAGATTGAGTATGCCATGAACAGTGATTTGAGTGATGTGCAGAACTAGAATGTTATTGGCCAGATGCCATTTTTGTATGTGATTTTTGTATGTAGAGGATATTTCGATTCTCTATCAGGATGTAGGACTTTGTAAGTTGATGTCATTATCGTTTATATGTGTGGGGGCTTCAAGGAGCAGCTTGTGAACATCACCACTGGTATCGGAGGGAGTATAGAGAATATATGTATTATTTCTCCCGTCAAATGTATTATTGTAGAGGGACCTAGGACACCTGGATATAGGTGGTCGTCTACACCCCCCCCCAACACCACCATCCCCAAGAAGCTGTAGGATATGCACGCCATCTATTCATAGGCGCCGTGCATTCAGATTTATGGAACTCTATAAGTAGATCATCAGCCAGCAAGATAGTCTGCAACCTGTTTAAGAAGCAGTCATCCAAAGATGGGAGGACGGAGCCTGTAGTAATTGCTTAGTTTAGCCCGTGGCGCAGCTATGTGCAGTACAAATATAGACTATAGTATTAGAAGCCGACAGTCCCAAGAGCACACTCCTTTCTGCCATGTGCCCCAACACACACCCAAATTAGTGGATGCTCTCTATGGGGGCAAGGCTAAACTATAGCCTTGCCCCCATCCCTTGCCCAATTACAGTGATTAAAATAGAATTGCAGGTGAAACTTAGAGCTTTTGTCCAGCTTGTTTTGCTGTGTTCTCGGTGGCTAGATTAGTCACCACTTCCTGTTTTGGAGACGCAACAGAAAGGTAAGGGATATTTTAATGGGGGCATAGCAAGAAAAACCTGAACTTGCTTCTAATGCAGGGGGTAGCCACATTTCGGTCCTCCAGCTGTGGTGAAACTACAAATTCCATCATGCCATATGGCTGTCAGTCTTGTGAGATTTGTAGTTTCACCACAGCTGAAGGGACGAAGGTTGGTTACCCCTGTTCTAATCTTTTCCCATTTTTCTGCTAAAAGTCTTTTTATTGCTGCATGTGTCCCCGTTAGAGAGATTCTCCATTCTTCCTTTGCTGGTAACGCAACAGAAATGAAGGGAACTAAACCGGAGATTATGGTGAACTCTCTCTAACAGGTAAAGATAGTAGTCACCAGCACTCACTTGTAATGTGCTCTCTCTAAAGGTGTCCATACACTGCACGATTCTCGTACGAGAAATCCCGCGATTGTACGAGAATCGTGCAGTGCGAATCAAGACGTGTGACCGTTTTTACAGTACGGTCGCACGTCTTTTGTCTAAGGAGCACGCTAGAAAACCAGCCGAGAATCGTACGATTTTCGGCTGGTTTATAGCATGATCGTAAGATCAATGCCGCACGGGCCGGTGTGCGCACGCACACACTGCCCATTCAACATTACGGTCATCGGAAGCCTGCCCCTCAGGGGGACAGGCTTGCAATGATCGCAAGTACGATCTGCCAGTCCAAGATGGGCAGATCGTAAATTTTTTTAATTACTTGACAACCACCGCAAGACTAAGGTCTTGCGATGGTTGTAAAGTGTATGGCCACCTTAACAGGTACACAGATTGCAATAGAAACCTGACCCGGGTTCTAACGCGTATCCACTTCATCCAAACCTAAAGGAAAGACGTTTAGCCCTCTGCTATAATGTATTTGGTTTAGAAAACCTCACCGCTGGTTGGGGAAGCTTATTAACCCGTATCTGTTGATACATGAACGGTGGCTGCAGCATATAGAAAACCTCGGCCTATGACGTCTCTTCGC